GAACGTGAATAGTATTTTTGATAGAGTGCCAGCTGCACAGAATCACCGTGCATCCTAAGAATGTCCTTAAGCATGTGTCAGCATTGATGTGATTTTTTGTGCTGTATTATGTAACGCTGTGATGCATGAGCTCTATTTCCAATCAATGATCTACTAATTCCAAACATTACCCCTTTGTATACATATAAACAGTGTCTAAATAGCAGCATGCAATCTGTTATCCAAATCCTTAAATAATACATTTTGAAAAGAGGAATTTAAAAATAATTGCATGATTATAATTGCTGTAAGTTGTATGCACTTGATACACTAGCATATGTCCACACAGTCATATATTTCTATATTGATGGAAAAAATAATGGAACTTAAAAATAGGGTATGCACTTGTAGGTATGGTTAAGATACCTCATACTCTCATACTTTGTAAGTATAAAATACTCCTGTCTATGCATCGTAGGACAGTTTGCAGCATGGACAGCTGGGATCAGCTACTTAAGAATGACAGTGGAAGCATATTCTCCTTGATAATGACTTTCAGACAGGTCTAGAAAGAGAAGTTAATTTAAGTCAAAATACTGGACCAATGTCAACATTGCTACCAAAATACAGGGGAAAAGTATTATTTGCTATGATGAAACAGTACTGAGTTGTAGGCTGATTTATGGAGTGAAAGTTAGAACAGTTGACTTTAAAACAGCCAAAATATTAATGTTGATAAGCATGTTGTTTGACATCTTGGCTGGCTGGCTTCCACTCCATGCTTCTGTCTATGTTGTTTGCGGGAGGAAAGTTGTGCTTGAACAAGTGTGTGTAAATACCCAGTTTTACCCACAAAGGCCTCTTCGGAGGTCTTTCATTGCTGGTTTTGGATCACCAAAGTCATCATAGAATAGTTTGGGTTGGAAGGGGCCTTTGGAGGTCATCTAGTCCAACCCCCCTGCATTGCACCTCAGCTTGTGACATACTTTTCGCTTTCTTTGCCCCTTTTCTCATAGTAGAGAAATGGGAGTTTGTGATCCCCTAATAATGCATACGGTCGTATAGCTGATATGCTGCTTCATTTCATTTTTAAGTAACGCTGCCGAAACCTAAGACTAAAACCTTTGAAGTCAGTGTTCTTCTAGTTGTGCCAATAAAATACCTGTTTCTGGTTAATTTTTTTTTTTTTAATTGAATCAGGAAATGGCAAATATTTTGGCACAAAAGCAGCTTCGCTCCATCATCTTAACTGTAAGTATATAATTTTCAAAGTTACTTTTCACTAGCAGAGAGAAAAGGTTGCTCCAGTTTTGGTGTTTGTAGGTTTTATCTTCATATATTTTAATTGTGCTTGTATTTTGATATGTTTTGAAGACTGTAATATACAAGATAAAAGTTTGGTTGTTGAATGGGTTCAAAACTGATTATCAGAAAGGGTATTTTCCCCATCAACTAAACTGTGGTTTCTTCATGAAAATATAATACTGAATAAAAGACTAATACCTCAAGCGTTTTCTTCCCATAGATAATGTGAACTTTATTGTGCAGATGAGTTGCATGGTTGTCTGAGGAATTTGTAGCAAGTCCTCTGTGTTAAGGTTTGGAGCTGGTGGCAGCTGAGCAAGCTGCACAGTGCTTTCCATCTTGCAAAACAAACCTCTCTGTTCTTCGGTTCTACAGATCATTCTGTCTTCATATAAAGTTGCACACAATTTGTCACCACTTGCACAAAAGAAGCATGAAATATATCTCAGAATGAAGTTAATGAATGCAATATAAAAGACTCGCATCTGCTGTCATGGAAAATCAGAGGGATTTTGCCTTTGTCCTTAGATTACATCTTCAAGTGAACAAGGGAAAATGTTCTTTCTCTGTTAGGAGGTACTAGACAGTGTAAAACAAACCAAACAACAACCAAACAACTGCTTGCTCTTTCTCATTCACTATCATAGTTTAAATGATGCATGAAAAACCCCAGAATTTGTTTCAGAAGGTATATTTTTACACTGCTTATATTTGTAAGAAATTTGGTATGAGCATATGGATAATATTCTTGGGTGTTCACTTACTATTGTAAAATGCTCCAGTGCCTTTTGGCAGGCAGATTTTTTTTTTCTCTGGAGCTGTACACTATCAGTTGCTGCACCCATCTCCTACTTGACAACTCTTTCCTTATGTATGCTCTGCTGTGTTTAGTGACCTGGGTCTGTTTTCCTGTATAGAACCACTTGGACTTTTTTGGCACACCAGGGATTTTTAAATTGTCCGTCAGTTTAGTATCTGCTTTCTGAATGGGATAATTCTGCACATTCAGGATGTTGTATGATAATGTATTTCTAAGCAGCCTTCCTCATACAGAACAGAGTTGTCTGATAAAGTTAGGATTGTTATTGATTCCTGCAGCAGTAGCCCTGTTATATCACTGTATTCACTGGTTGTGTTTGCAGGCCTGCAGCAGTAACCCTGCTATATCACTGTATTCACTGGTTGTGTTTGCAGCCTGAATACTTTTTTGCTCAGCCAGCTACTCTCTTAAATATTTTCTTAATATACTCTCATTATTTTTTTTTTATGTAGAGTCCTAATGCTTTTGGTGAGGAGTTAATTCTGCTTCAAACTGACTTCTCAGTGCTGATTTTTTGGTTTTTATGCTACTCTTCAACATATGCACAGGTTCTACCTAGTGGCTAGAAGCAGAAAGCTTCAGTGCATTGTTACTGTAAAGTCCTGTCCCTTAAAATTAATTATGTAGTACCTAAATCAGTAGCATGAGTCCTGGTTTGATTTTCTTTTCTCTGGAATATACATATGCTGTTGCATAGCAAACACATACTTAACGAAGTGAAAACACCTGAGTGCACCTAATGTAATTTTCTGATAAGAAGGCATTCATTGGAGTCTGTCTGTCTTTGCAGCATGTTATCAGGGCACAGAGGGCCATCAATAATGAAATGGCACACCAGCTTTATGTTCTGCAAGTACTTACCTTTAACCTTCTAGAAGACAGGATGATGACAAAAATGGATCCACAGGATCAGGTAAGCATCTGGCACGATCTGGTCAGAACAGGAAGAGGACAACTGCTCATTGCTGTGCCTAAAGCTCTTTATGGAGGAAAAGACACTGCTAGGAAAGCTTACACAATGAATGAATTCATCTCTCTCTCTTTCTCTCTCTGTGATGTTGGGTTATGATTTCTGGCAGTTAGAAGGTGTACTGACTATTGCATTCCTTGTGCAAATGTACAACAAAATGGCCAGCCTTTTCTGCTTAGCATATAGTTCCATGAACTGAATTTGGTGTCATCCTGAGCTAAAACTCCGAGCAGCAGTCCAGCATTTGTCTATTTTGTGTACCTCTCAGAAACAACAGAGATGTATGGCTCTTCAAAGAAGTACTTCTGTAGAGCTAAAATGAATGTTTAAATGAAAACCTCTGGCATGCTAGAGGTGAAGTTAATTTGTGTTACAATAAAACCCATTTTTGTTACTGGGGAACTATATAGAGTTGTTCATTTGTTTATTGCTCACTGCGTCCAAACACCAGCTTTAATATTGTTCATTATGCAAAAAGAGACACTCCCCTGAGAGATTCAAGTTTAAATACAAAGTCAATGAGCCACAGAGAAGATGTGTTTTGCTTCTTTATTTTTTGTGGCCTTTTTTTAGGCCCTGTGCAAGGAGGAACCTGATGTCATTTTTAAGAGGGAGTTGTGTTAAGACTTGCTGATAATTTGGAGAACAGTAGGTGGGAGAGCGAGATGGTTGTAAACATAAGTAACATCATGCTGTAGGATTTTACCCTTCCTGTTTCTTAAGTTTAAGGCAGGAAAGTTTGACTCTCAGGAATGTATGTGCAGTTAACTAGTGCGTATTTCCATAGCAAGTGACTAACACAGTGCTGTTAGTATTGATGATAGCGTGGTTATCACTGTCTCAAGACATTGCTAGAGATGTGTAACTGCAGTAATTCCTCTCTTGCCCATTCCTGTGCTATCAAAAATGGACAGTTACCAAAAGGAATGCAGAGTGCTGAGCCATTTTGATTTCAGCCAGAAAAGTGCTTAAGTACCATCTTAATTTGAAATGTGTGTGATCTCTTGGCTTCTGTGGTTTCATGCCTGTGGTTAAAATTACATGTGTAGTTAGTGGCCTTGCTAGCATGGGTCCAGCTTCTGGAAGTCAACCCTTAAGCATCTGCATGTGAACCCCACAAATGTGAGGACTTTGGAAAATGGGAACCACAAAGTCATTCTTGCTGACTGTCCCTCTGAGTATGAAGTAGGGAATTTAGGCAAAGAAAGGCTGGGCAGCAGAGGGAATACAGTGTTTTGAAACAGCTTTTGTGGTATTGGTTATTAAAGTGAGAGGTAGGTTATTTTAACGATTTTTTTACTTTGTTTTAACATAGGCTCAACGGGATATCATATTTGAACTCCGAAGAATTGCATTTGATGCAGAATCTGAACCTAACAACAGTAGTGGCAGTATTGAGAAACGCAAATCTATGTATACTCGAGACTATAAAAAACTTGGATTTATTGTGAGTATTTTTGTGTGGTGGTACACTGAAAGTGGGTGAGTGCATCTGTTGCGCATCCTATAATCAGTCACTTCTCCTAACTGGTCTTCTGGCTATTTCCTACAAGGGAATAGCTTTTTTTTTTGTTTCCAAATCCTGTTAACCCCAAGTGACTGCTTGAGCAGAAGTTAGGGTTAACTGGAAGAAATAACTGCCTGAGGCTGAAGCACGTGCTTTTGCATGACATGCCATAATTAAAATCTAACTTTTCATGATATCTTGGATGAACAGGCATCGTCTAATGGATCTGTGGCAGACGTGTAAAGTCATTGTACTCTGTTAGTAATAATGTGGACTGACGAGCTCAACATACCCAGGGTAGGACTCTATGGTATTTACTTGCAGGGCCTTGTGTTTTGGTTGCCGAAGTCTTTTTGCCTGTGAGTAGGGTATGCAGAATCTCTTACCCTGGCTTAATCAGACCAATTAGAGTTCTGGTCTTGCCTGAAACTGTGCTGGGGAACGGAGTATGACCTGACTAAACTGTTGCATACGTTTATATTAGGGAATAATGTGTATTTTTCCCCCTCTGGAACGGACCATGCACACATACACTGCAATCAGTATCTTGATTTATAGTTTACTCTAGGTTAGTATGCAATTTTCTTTTCCTTAGGTAAAATTGTATGCTTCATGTCTTACATGATTCATTACTTTGCTGTTGGCCTGGCAAATATACACTGAATGTAGTACAGTAGCCACAGTTATAGACAGGGTGGTTTTAAACACTGTTGGTGCAAGCTGAACCTTGCTGTGCAGTTCGAGCGCTCTGCTCAGCTCTGTGGTATAGGGCTCAACATTACCCAGTTCCCTTGTGGTTTTGGGAGGAGGCTTTCTGGGTTCTGATAGTTGTTTTCATTACTGATGAGTGAGGAAGAATTACTGCTGTATCAGTGCTGTTTTATTGGTAAGGAGTTGTAAGTAAATAGACGGGAAGGGAGGAACTTGGCATCTTGGGATTGTAAGAATGAAATTAAAACTAGTACTTTGAAGAAGCTTTTGAAGCTCACTGTGGTTTTTTATTGTCTATGAATCTGTTCTCAGTTCCTGTGTGATAGAAAACCATTGCTATTGCAGCTTCTGAGATTGGCAGCTCCTATGGTGAGGTGAACAGAGGACTTTGTGCCCTCAAGGCCAAAACAAAAAGAAAATGCAGGCCCTGGCTTAGAGACAAATGGGCTGGATACAGAGCCTCCAGCTTGTGGTGAATGAGAACAGAGATGAGGGTCACTGTCATAGGAAAAGTAATTGCTGGCAAAGAAAGAAATAGTGGCAAACCCAGAGGGAATGATGGGGTATGTTAAAGTCGTGGTGGGGCTGTACATACAGGGATCGTGGCATATGGAAGAATCAAGGAGATCAAATATAAAACAATTGTTCTTTAATTCAGGCTGACCACTTTTGGATATCTGCTGCTTGCTCTAGTTCTATGAGTTGTTGAAGACTCTCAGGTCCCACAGCCATCACTGGCACCTAAGTATCTAGCACCTCTGAAAATTTGATCCTGCTTTCTTAAAGCTGGAGATGGAAAACTCTGAGCATGTAATGGAGCACCAACAGAAGCTGAACTGGGACTAGCACACAGATCTGAATTCCAATCCTCTTTTTCTGCTACTTAACAAGGACTAAAGACCACTAATTGTGCAGGCTTCCAATGCTTTTGTTTGTCCCACAGGATATATTTTGATCTGTAGAGCTGAAATTATTTAGAACAGCATGTTTTAGCTGATAGGATTGGGAGGAAAACACTCGGTGTGAATCAAAATGTGTTACTGTCTTGCCCGAGTTTGCAGGAACTCTCTTGCTGTGCCTGTGCAGCAGGGACTTACCCATTATCTTCATTACTCTCATTTGGGCTGTTCATGGGGAAGCCTGCTGAAAACACTCCAACAGTTGTAAAGGGTAACTGCAGCACTGTTTACTTGTCTAGTTATGATAGCCTTCCACAAAGGAATGAGGAGCAATATCTAGGAGGGAATGGGTACTGGCATCAAAGCAATGAAGAAGATTGTGGGGAAAGCATAATGGGAGATAAGAAGAAACATGGGAAAGTGAGTTGTGGAAGGAGAAGCATAGCAAGAGTCCCAGTGGGAGGCAGGTTGTCCCACTGGCAGTATGATGAGGCAATGTACAAATAATAAAAGTGTCAGTAGTGAACTGTGAGCAGAATTATTCTACTCTTGTACGGAAGTTTTACTTTGAGCTAAGAGTACAGGTGACACTGCATGTACAACTTTTCTCACAGCTGAAAAGGAATTTGAAATTGCTCACAGAGCTGGGGAAGGAAGCAGGACCTGTTGTGAAATCTGACTGGTGATGTACAGCCTTGCACATGGGCTGCGCTCTGCCTGGACTCCAGTTAGCCTGGCTGCCTTCACCCCATCTACTTCTTTTCAATCCATCATTAAAGTGTCTTCAGTGCTTTCATACACTGCAGGTAGAAGGATCATTAGCAAACTGACCTATGCTCTGAATAAGGTTTCTCTTCCCCCAGTTTTGGCTGTGTGGCACAAGAAGAAACACAGCCAAGTAGGCTGCCTTTCAATGCTGTCTTCTTTCCACTGGTGTTAGTGGTCAGGATGCTGATTTCTTGAACTGATTAAACTTTTTTTCCAAGGGGGAGAGTAAAACCATATCTAGCCATCAAGTTGTTCCTGGACTGCTTGTTCTCTTTCTGTATGTGAAATGCAAGAATCCTGTTCATTCTTCTCAGCCACATCAAAAAGTTTTGTCCCACTACAAATGTAATGTCAACAATGACATGTAATGTCATCAAGAGACACAGTCCAGACATGGTTTCAGAAGTTTACAGTATCATTTGTAAAACTACATAGTTAGAAACCTACATCCAGTTAAAGAAACCACAAGGCCCCTCCAGATGTTTGTGATGACCTGTGTGAAGTCTATTACGGGCAAAGAGATTTTCAGATGAGACAGTCTTGAGCAGATTTATTAAAATACTGATGAATACAACAAAAGATGACCCAGTTAGGAGTTCTAAGATATGTTCCACCCTACTGAATTATTTTCTGAGTCAATTGCAAATTAAGTAGCCTGAGTGCCTTTCCGCTCCCCCCCCCCCTTCGCCTTTTAAAATCTCGTTTGGCAGGGAAATCCCAACCAATGCTTATCCCTGTCAATTCTCGTAGTAGAAATAGTTTTGTAAACTTTCAAATGGTAACGTAGTTCAGTGTTAGAAATATTTAAAAGGTAAAGCCACATATATCGATAATATCAGTCCTAAAGTTCCTGATATGTTCAAATGGTTTAGTTTTGTAAAACTCGTTGTATGTGAAGCTTCTAAAGTTTTCTTGCATTTGAGTAAACTTAATTCCCATAAGAATGAGAATTAGGGTTGTTCAGCTCTGGGGAGACCTTATTGCAGCCTTTCAGTACTTAAAGGGGGCTTCTAAGAAGGATGGGGACAGACTTTTTAGCAGGGCCTGTTGCGATAGGACAAGAGGTAATGGTTTTAAACTAAAAGAGAGTGGATTTAGACTAAATATAAGGAAGAAATTTTTCACCATGAGGGTGGTAAAATACTGGCACAGGTTGCCCAGAGGGGTGGTAGATGCCCCATCCCTGGAACCATTCCAGGTCAGGTTGGATGGGGCTCTGAGCAACGTGATTTAGTTGAAGATGTCCCTGCTCATTGCAGGGGGGTTGGACTAGGTGACCTTTAAAGGTCCCTTTCAACCCAAACTATTCTATGATTCTATGATAACCGAGGCAGGCAATATATGCGACTCAAGAAACTGATACTCTGTATATTTTCATCGTAATTCTTTAAACATCTCTAACTGTCATTGAGAAGTTGCAGTGAATGTGTTTGTTTAGAGGCAGATCTGACCAAATGCTAAGAAACTTAAATATGTGGAAAAGTTATAAAAACAAACCAAAACAAAAAATCTTATCCTAGGACAGTTTGTCTTAATTTAGCAGTATATAGAGCTTCTGATGTTTTTTGTTTGACTTAAGATTTTACTTACCTATGCAGTGACTTGTGGACTGACATGAATGTAGGATGAGTGCAGAGGATGAGGCTTGTGCAGTGATGAGGGAGATGCCTTACAAGAGTTGACTTAAAAAGGTTGGCTTGTTTAGCCGACTAGGCTGAAGGCTGTGGAAATATCAAGTGTACAAAAGCTGAGAGGGAGGAAGCCATATGTAAGCTAAAAGCCAGTGATGGCAATCAATTAACGGGAATGGTTTTTAAATGGAACAATGAGGACAAAATTTGTTACTTGGATCCATTTTGCTTCTTCCTGTCTGTTTATTCCTGCAACTGTCTTGGTTAGAAACACCTCTCGGGCTGTCTTCTATATGACTTTTATCTCCTTCGACAAATTAGAACAATTGTGCACAGTAATCTCCATCATGTCATGATATATTCCCCAGAGGAAGTCCTTTCTCTCCACTGAAAGAAGGAGGTTGTCTGGAAGATCATTTGTAATCATGTAATTAATATTTTGTAATGATTACCTGCAAGAGAGGCAAACTCAGATGACTGCAGCAAGTGCTGACATACTCCAACCCTTAACTGCTGTCATCTTCAATCTGTTTGGTAGAGCTCTGGTGTGTATAATTCCCTCACACTCACTTGGAAGGCAGTTGTCGCCCCCAGCTTGTTTTCGTATCGTGCCTGGTCTGTGTCCCCACCGCTGCTCTAGGATTTGGGAGTGAAGAAGTAAAGTTAAACTTTGGAAAAGGATGGGGGAAGGTGTTGTTTTAATGTTTGCTTTTCACTACCCAAATCTTTTTTAACTGGCAATGAATTAAATTGACTTTCCCCAAGTCATGTCTGTTTTTCCCATGATGGTAACTGGTAAGCAGTCTTCCTGTCCTTATCCCGACCCACGAGCATTTTCATCCCTTTTCCCTCCCTGCTCTGTTGAGGAGGAGAGTGGAAAGAGAAGTGCAGTAGAAGGGCACACAGCAACAGTGTGAGGAAAGGGTCGAAG